TAGCTTTTAGAAATATATTTGTGTTTATGACTAATATATCTTAAGATAATATTCAGGAGGACAATCTTGTATATTATTTGAACTACAAAACAGAAATATATGAGAAACATTTTACTATTTTGGAGAAAACAATGAAATTGTGTCTATTAAAATGAGTTAAACATGAGCATAATAAATACTGACACTTCAAACTTGTGGGTAAAATTTTCTGGAAATCCATCTTTGAATAAAAGAATTCAATTCATATCCCTTATGCTGTTGGATAAAGATTTTATGGATAAATTTTTCAAAATAGTTTATGAACCTCAACTAAAAACAAAGGTGTGCCAACAGATGTAGCCAGTGAGCATCTGTCACTCCACGCAGAGCATATATTTAACCTGCTCCATGCAAGTTCCCTGCTAGACTCTCTATCCTCATCACATATTAGTCTCACAGCCACAAAACTGAAAGAGCATCATCCATTTCGAATTTATTAATAATCTTGGACGCCAATGAAAAGGGGCTTTTGTAATTAGGAAAAGTCAACCATGAAGTGAAAAAAAAAAAAAAAATAAGCCCCTGGAAATACAATTACCCTAACAAGTACTGGCTTCATATAGGTCAAAATAAAATAATTTTAGTTATTATACTACGTGATATAGTTCTGGAATATTCATGGGATAAGGAAACACGAGGGAGAGTTATAGTAACCATAATATTAAATCTTTATTGTTCAGCAAAGGTCAAGTTTTTCCTCTGCCTTGAAGTTAAAAGAAAAGACCTAAGAATATTTTGGGTCCTCACTATGACACCGATCACGGATTCCATGTCTTGGGATGGGGCTTTAGGTGAGATAAAGAACTGAAACTACCTCCATGGGTAGCCGAACCTTCTATGTGATGAAATGGATCCCACACTAGAAGTTGTCTTAACTCAGTGATAGTATAATTACTCTGACTGTATGCACTCTACCTTTCAATACACTCACCTGCATGCCAAATCTTCCAGTAAATAGTTTCCCTAATGTAATTCAAACACACAATGCCTTTTCCTCCCTCTCTGCTTTTGTTCCAGCTGTGGTGCCCACCCTGCATGAAATCCTTCATAGGAGTCTCTGTCCAAGCTCCAGGGCTACTACCGAATATAACATTTTCCCAGCTACACAGACACCCATCTTCTTCACAATTCCTCTAGTACTTACTTGCGCTTCTGTCTTTCTAGTACATAATCATATACGGTCTTGGAATGTGTTTAAACTATTTCTCCTAATTATAATAATGTTTACTTAATATATGTTTTGTTTATACCAAGTACTGTGCTGAACACATTTAACCTTTAAAGCAAGCCCATGAATCAGTCCCCTACAATTTTCATTTTATAGATAAAAAAAAAAAAAATAGATTTAAATTGTACACAAGGACACGATACTCCTAAGAACTAGAGCCTGTACTGACATCTAAAGCTCTCTCCAAAGATCTTGTTCTTTGCCACTGTGAAATAGGACCTCATGCAAATGCCTGTTCTCCTCAACTAGACTGTAAGCTGAGGTCAAAGACAGTGTTTTTTACTTCTTTCTACTTCCTTGGAATACCTCACACCGCTCAGCCAAGGGTTAGACAGGTATTAAGAGCTCTGAGGGAGGGAGACACAGAGAATATATCCAGAATACGTTTTACAGGGGTCCATAAGATGTTCTATTGGCTCTTTATTGTATCATGTATTTTTAAAGGTCCAGTTAACTAAAGGCAGAAGCCTCTAGAAATGAAATTCTTCAGAGGAAGTCAGTCTTTATCTGCAAACTGGATTACAGTCAAGGAGGCAAGCTGCTTTTCAAAGACACTAGTTGCTCTTCTAAAATGCACATTTTATTAATTGTACTCACGTCCCTTAAAATTTTGCTGTAAACAAAATGTTATTTTGTTTTCTAGTTCTTTAATAACTTGGTATGCTTTGTTTCCATTCAGTGGACTAATGTTTACAAAGGAGGCATATGAAAAGTACCTGTGTTTCTATACTAAGCACAGTATCAAAAACTGGGGCATACACCCACATCCCTCTGCAGAAAAACTGCAACAGAGAAAGAGCAAAGCCCATAGAGGGGCTGCCACCTCCCCACATTCACAACTCTGAAGCCCCACAAAGAATAGCAGAGATACCGGGAGGGGAAAAGTCTTTTGAAAGAAATTTGGACAAAACTAACTTATTATGCTCATATATAATTAACATGACAGTCTTTCACTTGTTTCATGGTATTCTAGGGAAAGGAACACCAACAAGGAAAACACTCCTATCTACAAGTTCACTATTAAGTAATGCAAGCATTCCAATACACACAGGGTTGACTGCAATCTGCATCAGGATGTTGGTAACACTGGTAATTCAACCAAGCTTTAGCTATATGGCTGAAGAGTCAGCCAAGCCATTAATGGAATTGCATTCCTACCACAGGGAGTTGAAGGAGTCCATCACTCCTAATATTACACACTTCCCCAGCACTGACTCAGGTGATTAACTATCAGCTTTTCATCAAATCAGCACTCAATCACTTAGGAAGGCAATTCTCTTCATCTCAACTCCTGCTTTACACTCCCATAAAATGCAAAACTGCATATTGCACTATTGTCATATAATAATTTAAATGAAAAGAAAAAAATCAATAATGTGTTCCATAGCATAGTGTCTTACTGGCAACTTCAATGAATCCACCATTAATTTTGGTCCCTCACACACACTCTTTAAACACAAAACACAGCCATTCTAAAGATATTAAGGTGTTTTGGTCTGTCGTTTTAGGAGAACATAAATAGGACAAAATATAGGCTTCAAAATATCCATTTTTGATTTATACTTACACTATTGGACCCTTCTGAGATGATAAATATACTAAACATTCTGAGGCATGGTTGTCCCGCCATGTATAAATAAACTTTACAGCAGCAATGCTAACAGAAAGAATTGCCAAATTGCCAATAATATGTATAATATAAGGGGTTAGAATGCAAGCTAAAGAGTGCAAGGTAAATTATAGCATTCTGTGAAAATGAGTGATGTAAAACCAACAGCAATTTTAAATTATTAACAATGGTTCTGAAGCTAATTTAACTTTTCCATTGGTGTAAGTCACAAACAGAATCACACAGTATGTTTCTCTTCAAACATCTTGAGGGTTCCTATGAGGTGGGTGAAAATGGGTAAGGGTGTCTCTTCAAGGCTATAATGCACCTAATGCCATCTAAATGGTATATTTACAAGTCTGTGGAGTATAACCTCATTTCTCCAAAACTGTCTAACCATTATCCTACTTGAGAAGTTAACCCATGATGAACAAAAGTACATCTCTTCCACCCTTCTGCTCCCTATTTTCCCAAACCTTTCTATCTTGGTATTTTGCATGCTGAGCAAAACATTCCATAAATAATGCTGTGGTGCACAGGCATTAAAGTTTAGAGAGTTTCTGCCTTTGAAGTAGGTAGTGACAGGACCAAGGACACACGGGTTCAATTCCAAGCCAAATATGAGGCGGGTGGTTTGAAAATGTCAATCCAAAGAGGCCTAGGGGAAAAGAACACAAGCTTACACTGCCACCTCCCTTCCTCTCCCCTCCCCTTTTTCTCTCTTGTTCCTTTCCTCTCTTCTCCTCTTTCGTTGTGGTTTCTCACGGAGACAATCAAAGCAGGGAAAGCTGGATTTTAAATTGGTGAGATACACACTGGGAATATGTAATTCCCAGAAGAAGAAAAGAAACTGCTGAAGAGGGGTATGGGGGCTGTTGGCAACATGTCCAAGTGACAACCCTCCCCACCCCCACCCTAATACAGCACAAATCCATAGATTCTTCCTCGATCCCCTTCTCCCTCCAGTTTCCAGTACTCTACCCAACTTGACCCTTCATCCTAAAAATTTAGGAACCTGCAGGGCACCCGCTGTTTAAGAGTGTGTCTCTCAGTATATGCACCCAATTTTCTGGAACCCCTGAATCCGGACAGTTGTAGCAGGGAAGGGATGTTCCCACCCTCCCACCGGGGAAGAGGTAAGAAAGGGGGAAAAAGAGATGGAGACAAGAGGAAAGGGATGCAGAGCTGTGCTCTAGCGCGAGTGGCTGCAAGGAAGACGGGGAAGAAAGAAAGGGTGGGAAGGAAGTGGGGCTGGGAGAGAGGAAGAAAGGGATGAAAGAAAGGCTGGAAGGGAGAAAGGAGGGGAGAGGAGAGAGGGATGTTGGGAAGGATGAGGGAGGGAGGGTTGGGGAGCGGGGAGGGGGGAGGATGGAGAGGATGGGAGGGAGGGAGGTAGGGAGGGAAGGAGGCAGGCAAGGATGGAGGATGCTCTGCCCGGGACTCACCTCTGTGGGTCGGTGGGAGTTTCTCGCCGCCTCCTCTTTCTCGCCCGTTCCCAGCAGCTGGAGTGGTAATCACAGAAGGGACTGGAGAGGCGGCGGCAGGGACAAGGGCAGCAGCTGCTGCAGCCGCCTCTGGCCGAGGTGCGGTGCCGCCTGCTCTGCCCGCCCGCCCGGGTCTCCGCCTCACTCGGGGCTGGAAGCGAAGCCGCTCCCCCCTCCCCCCCGCCCGCCCCGCGTCCTGCCCAAGCGCGAGCGGCAGCGGCCCGGATCGCCGCTAGGGGAGGCAGCCAGTGCGCATGCGCGGCCGCTGCTCGCTCGCGCGCCCCCGCGGTCCCCGTGGCTCCGCGGCGCCTGGAAAGGCACCGGGCTTCGAGGGGTGGGTGGGTAGGGGGGCCGCGGGCGCGCGCGGCCTGGGGAGCGCCCGAAAGGGCGGGGCGGTGTGGGGCGGAGCTCTGGAGGCGCGGCCGGCTCGGCGCCGCAGGTGGGGGGAGGGGACAGCAGCGAAGGGGCAACGCCGTAGGGCGCAAGTGCCGTGTCCATGACAACCGCGTTACCTTGCGGGCGGGGACCTGGGGCTGAATCGCCGGAGCGGCGAGGCCGGGGGAGAGGGACCGGGTGCGGGAGCGGGCAGGATAGGGGCAGGGGGGATAGGGGTGTCGCAGAGTAGGAAAGGAGGGCCAGCCCAGCAGGGGTCCGACACGTGGCCGGAGGAGGGCAGGGCCAGAGTGCGGCAAAGGTAGTGACTGCCGCGGAAGGGAGGTTTGTTGGGATCTGGAGTCCCGAGGGGAGAGGGAGGAAGATTGCGACTTTGAAAGAACCTAGAAGAGGATGGAATTGTTAAAACAAATGGAATATTTGCTCATTTAACAAGCCTTTGTTGAATATTTTCTCCGTGGAAGGCATTGTGATTCTTTTCTTGATTCAATGGATATTTCTGAGCCCCTAGTTTGTACCAGACACTGTACTTACGCTTTTTGAGATATCCAAAAATGTTCGTCCTCTCAGAGGTTATACTCTAGTTGGGGAACTTACATAGCTAAGGCAGGGAGTGTTTGCGCCGCCAGCCATCCGCAGCTGGGACTTGATGTTGCTGGAATGTAACTGTTACAGAGGTGCTAACAGTGAAAAAGGTACGCAGCTACATCAAATGAGAAACATAAGTTACAGTCATCTTTGTTCTGCCACTGTGCCAAATGACAATTTTGTTTTGTTTTAAATCAAGAGAGAAAAACAAAGAAAATCTATGGAAGTTTAGTATGACACAACAGAGGCTACGTTCACAGCACGCTACCTGTTTGGTATCCTGGTTCACTAGCATCAGTGCGCGTGTTCATGCCGACACTTGGATGGCTTTATGTCACTTAGTGCACGCATTTTTTAAATTCTCCTTCATCAATGGCTAAGCCATTGATATTTTTCCATCCCCCGTTTTGTTCCCAAGTTCGCGTCTGCAATTGTTTGAAAATTACATAAAACCCTAGTATTTTTAATTCTCTCCAGGGAATGACTGGAGAGGGATACTTCTGTCCATGCCTCTATCTTTCTCTCCCAATATCTTTTTGGCTTTCTTTTTTCTTGTCCCCACCACTTTACCAGTTAAAAAATTTCTGGGAAAAAGTGAACAGGAGTCACCGGATATTGGCTTAAGAAGAACCTTAGCACGCAACCGTATTTCAGGACCACGGACAGTGACACCGCGTGCTCTTACCACCAAGCGTTTTTCTTAGACTGCCTATGGAAACAGGAGAAACACGCTAAAGAAAGCACACGTTGTGCTTCATGAAGTAAGTGCCGAGCGCCAAATGATTTGTGCCAAAATAGTGGAGAATGAAAAGTGCATACTATGGACTGGAGTATGTAGGAAGGAGGTAGGCCTTCAGCTGAAGTTTGAAGAATGAATAAGGTTTAGAGGGGCATCACAAGTCCCTGATGTGGTAAGATATGGTAGGTTAGCCAGCGAGGTGCTTAAACAAAAAGAGATACTGCATATAGTATCATTCCGGAGGCAGAAGACACCTATGAATTTGAATGGTCCAAGAATCTGGAAAGAGTAAAGTTGTCCTAGTCAAAATGAGGTAGAGCATGCACGCAAGAATTGACCTTTTTTTTTTTTTTTTTTAATGATTTATTGTGATTTTTTTCATACTCTGGTCAGGCTTGACGGAATAAGCTAAAAACTACAGGCCAAAGAGTGACCAGAAAAATTCATCTCTTTAAGTTCCGAGGATTCATGTGTAGTTTTTTGTATTGTTGTAATTAGGCTTACATTTATAATTTTTTGTTTTAATTGCAATTAAATAATGTAGACCAAAAAAGAAAAAATAATGTAAACCAAATGCTGTCTAGTCAAAATGGGATTTGCCTTGTTTGTTGTTTCGTAGTAACTTTCAAAACAGTAAAATATTATTGAGAGACATTTAAAAGTCTTTTGTAAAATATTTGTAAGGTTTTAGTCCATCCAATTGCTTTAAATTAGAGTTAATTAAAAAAAAAAAACAGCAGAAAAGCCATCTTTGATTTCTCAGACCCTTGGTCTCCCTCAATTCTTCAAAATACATCAAATTGTGGTCTGTCAATTAGATAGTGATAAGAAATTACTCAGGCAATGCATTTCAGTCACCAGCAGGCAAATGGCAGCTGAGATTTTTGTTCCCTGCTGCCAAGGAATTTACTAACATTCTTTTATGTTTTAATAAAGGGGAATCCTCAACCCTGTCTACCCTATGGAAAATCCAAAATGAATATTATTATAGCCATATTTTTCCCTCTGATAAAAGTCTAAATATGCTTTATAAGTAATGGTTATTATTGGATGCTAAAATGCTATCATTTTGTTTGTCCCATTCTAAACTAAGGGGATTTTTAAAAATGCTTATTTCTTTTGTTTTGAGTCTGCTTGTAAATCTGATTGTTTTTGATTTTCTTGATTTAAGTGTTGTCCTTCATTTCAGTGACATAAACATATACAGCCCTCAGAAAAACAAGAAATTTTCTTCTTTCCCTCACTCATATTAAAAATTTATGCAAACATAAATAACAAACAAAAAGAGCATGGTTAAAGGTATGGCATTGTGTTCAAATGGAGAAAATGCTATATGTAATTATAATACAATTTAATGTGCAATCAAATGACATCTAGATTTTTAGGATACGCCAAACCAATACTGGTATCTTAAGGAAAATTATCTGTAGTGCTTATACATTTAAATATCAGGTCTTACACACTAGGACCCTAATTCAGTCTGTCAGCTCCAGAAATTTCACTATCAAGCCCTGCTGAGCAATTTCATTGTTTTAGTAGACTTTATTTTTTAGAGCAGTTTTAAGTTCACAGAAAAATTGAGTGAGAAGTACAGAGAGTTTTCATATATCTCCAGCCCCCACAAGGGCACGACCTCCCTGTGATCAACCCCTGGATCACAGTAGCATGTTTGTAACAACTGATGAACCTATATTGACGTATCATTATCACCAAACTCCATAGTTTACATCAGAGTTCACTCCTGGTTTCATACATTTTGGGGGTTTTGAAAGAAGTATAATGACATGTATCCACCACTATGGTATCATACTAGTTTTACTCACTAAAAATACTCTGTGTTCTGTCTATTCTACTCTTTCTTGCTCCTAACCCCTGGAAACCATTGGTATTTTTCCTGTCTCCACGGTTTTGCCTTCTCCAGAATGTCATATAGTTGGAGTCGTACAATATGTAGCCTTTTCAGATTGACTTCTTTCACTTAGTAATATGCATGTAAGATTCCACCATGTATTTTCATGGCTTGACAGCTGTATTTTTAGCACTGAATAATATTCAGTTGTCTCTACATACCACAATGTATCCACTCACCTACTCATTTTCATTTGTTCAAACATGTTTATCATTTGTATCCCTAGGTAATTGTTTATATGTATACTGTAATGGTGAATATATGTATATATTTTCAAGTAAACAGAATGAGTGTTTTAGGATCCATGTGTGTAATTGTGTTTTATTTTGCTTGTTGAAACATTTTAACTGTAATCTTATATAGATAGAATGTACCATATTCTAGTGTGTGACATTGGACAAGTTTTTTAATGTCTATGATACTCAGTTTGCCAATCTGCAAAATGGAGGAAATTTTTATCTATCTTTATGACTTTCTTGTGAGAACTTAATGAAATAATACTTGACATGTTTTAGCACACTGTTGTCCATAAATAGAGCTGTATACTTGCTTTAATTAATAGTTCTAACATCAATGAGTAAATTAGTCAAGCATTAAAATAATATTATTCCTCAGTGTCTTTTGACTAATTTGAATCTGTTTCTATCATCTTTTATTTCCAATTAATATTTTTCTTTAAAAAATAAATAATAAGCTTTAATATGTCTTCTCATAGTAATTGTGTCACTCTCATCTTCAGGTTCCCTAATAGATTCACTTCCCCTTTAGGAGAAAGCTGAGGCTGCTGTCTGTTTAACACATTTTGAAATTGTGTCATTTTACTCTCAATTGTCACCCTGGAGCATGTTTTCCGTGTATCTGCTCTATGGAAGAATAGTTTCAGTCTTAATTCTTTCAATAGCAAATGACTGAAGTCCAATTTAAGTTTTGAGCAAAAGGGAAGTTTTGGCTCACATACCTGAGAAGTCTAAGGTATGTGTATATGAGGCTAAGCTAGTCCAGGGGGTCATCAAAAATATTAATCATGGCAAAGGGTATGATTACACTTGCTGGAGGCTTGTGTTCACATTTGTGTCACAGATTACTGTGACCAGAGGAAAAGCACATTCTGGTTCATATGTTCACCCCTGTGACCTCATGCAGGAAGAGGAGAAATTCCTGAAAAGATGTTGAGGAAGGACATGGAAAAGTAAGCATACTGCACAAACAAAAATTACAGCTGCTGAGTCCATTCATCACTGTGGAGTTATTTGAAAAGTGATTTCCACAATAAAATTGTATTGGCAAGTGCTGAGTGAAAATCATTTAAAGGTTTTTCTTTAGTGAATACATAGAAAACAATAATGTGCATGAAGTTCATTTAAGAGAAATATGTTTAGCATTTCCCACACTTATATGAACAAGGAACCCTCTCTCACAAAATATCTCTTGTGGCTAGAATCGAAGGAGAATACTTTCGGAACAGCTGACCTTAGTTTTCACCTTACTCTGCTGTTCTTTGACTCACAGCTTATTAATGAGCTTATTTCTATTCTTCCTTGATTTAAAAAATGTCTGATCCTCTTCTTAGTCTGTTTTCTGCTTCTAAAACAAACTCGCTGAGACTGGGTTATTTACAAAGAAAAGAAATTTATTTGGCTCATGGTTCTGTAAGATGGGAAGTCCAAGATTGAAGGGTCACAGATGGTTAGAGCCTTCTTGCTGCATTATCTTATGGTGGAAGGGCAAGAGACAGCAATTGAGAGAACAAGAGAGGAAGGGGGCTGAATTCTCATTTTTTTCAGGAACCCACTCCTTAATAATGGATCCACTCGCCACACCCTCAGTAATGGCATTAATCTATTATTAAAAGTTCCCCCTTCTCAACACTGTTGCATTGTGGATTAAGTTTGCAACACATGAACATCGAGGGACACATTCAAGCCACAGTATCCTCACTGCCACTTTTATTCTTATCAGTGAAGATATAATTTTAGAACTCAAAGGGACTTTCGTGATGGTTTCTTCCTATCCAGCCTCCTTATTTTTCAGATGGCAAAACTGAGACTCAATGTGTTTTTCTTTCCCATAATCACGAAACTAGTCAATTGCTGAATTAACCATATGGAGTAGGTTATGTTGAGGTAAGAAATAACACCCAGATTTCAGAGAGTTATATGATAGCTCTGTTTGTACAAGATTCCCTTTCTGAGACCCAAGCTAACTGAAAAGCCACTATCTGGAATCTAATTCATGACTATTCTACAGGGAAAGAAATAAATTAATTGATCTGGCCCTGGAGTGACTTGTATATTAGGAAAAAGCTAGTCACGTAACTCCTGTGACCACAAGATTCGAAGTACAAAACCACCATGTGCCTAGCAATCAAAATACTTCATAAACAGTCCTGAATACCATAGTGAAAACAAGTTGGGACAGAATCTCCTGATTTCCAGAATACAGAGGTATTTCCTCTACCACTTTGAATGACCAAATATGATTTGGTGATATATAATAATGGTACATATTATTTACAGAATAGTTACTGATGATATTAAGAGGTTTCTATACTTTAATTTTTCCAAAGATTACCAATATCATCCACATTTTTAAGATGAAAACACTCTGCGTTTCAAATTCCTCATCTTAAAAATGTTGATGTGAAAAGTACCACTAATTTTAAGGCTCTGAGTATAATTATTGCACCAGGTCATAGAGTTGGCAGGTGGTACACGTGGGTTTATAGCCTACACAGTCTGACTCTACAGTCCATACTGCTCTTCCCAGCACTCTGATACCTCCCTGCTGATGGAAGAGAAACAATTCCTTTCTATGAGTCAACTTAACTCAGCTTGGACGTGGTTGAAGAAATTCCTTTTTTTTTTTTTTTTTAAACTTGTAACACATGCACCAATATACTTTGCAAAAGCCCTTTAGGGAGTTGGAAAAAAAAAATATGTTCCATCAAACAATGTTTTAAGCCACCTAACTCTACATAGGTAATTTCAAAGACATAGAAATGTCCTTATTTACATACAAATGCACACATGCACACACACACACATTTTCCTGTAGTATTTTATTTGAAAAAAGTGTTTGGCTGATTAAAAAATATAAATGCCACTGAACTAGTA